AGCCAGAGCTATTTTATTTATTTGTGTTTTTAAAAACAATAGAGCAAAAACAGAAAAAAAGATACCTTCTGATTTATTTGCATTACACCTGAAAAAGTTGAGGGTTGGGCTTGTTTCATAGACTACAAACTTAGCATAAAACTATTGTTCACCTGTGTGGCATAAATATAGGGTCCAGATCACAGAAAATAATATATCTGTTCTCCAAGACTTTCTGGAAGAGCATATTCAACTCTATGAACCCCATTTAGGAAGATTGATGATATGGGAAGTACAGAGAGATATAATCAGGACAATAAGAAGCTGAAACAGAACTGGAATTTGGAGAGTTCTCATTAGAAGAGGGAGGGGACTTGCTTCCATAGAGCTCCAGAAGAAAGAGCTGAGAGAAATGAGAGGGGTCAGATGAAGGCAGTTCTAAGTCAACGGAAGGAAGAACCTTCTAACATATGCAGACACACACACACACACCTAGCAGTGAGTCAGATGCAAAGTTGGTCATGTCACCCTCTAGAAAAAGCCACTGATGGTTTCCTAGTGCTCCTAGATAATGTCCAAGTTCCTTAGTAAAGTTCATGAGCCCTTTGCAGACAGTCCTTTGGTTGATGTCCAGCTTCAGCTTTAATGCTCTCCCTGTCATGACATTCGGGACCATGTGTCCACTCCAAACTATTCATATCTACCCTCATTAAATACATATTATGGACTTTGCATATTGGAATTACTCCTTTATGATGAGCCACAGCTATAATTAACAGAGAATGCGAAAAGGAAATTGGGTTAATATCTTGTGGGAAGCAACTGCAAAAACTAAAATAAGGAACCACCCCAGTGATTCAGACTAACCTTTCTTAGGTGTACACAAAAGCCCAACTAAATCTGTTTACACTGAGTCCTTTCAAAGAATTCAAATGCATGAGGACAGAGGTGAGAAAAATTCAAGATCCCCCTTGCCAGGATATTGCCAACAGTGAGAGCCCCCATTTAGAATTCAATGCTTTTAAAAATGTAACTTTTGCATTTTAAAATTGTGTACCTCTGATGGAAGATTGAAGCCAGACTTTCAGCCCGCTTCAGCTAGGAGAAGTGGGGAGAGGTAATCACAAATGAATAGAAGGAATAGCTCAGAGCTGATTTAGGCCTTGAAGAGAACAAGATGAGCCCTTTGCCCATTTAATTTCTCTGTGCAACTTGTTATTTCATTCTTTACTTGCTGGCCTAGTAGTGGGAGACACATCATTGCTATTAAATGTATACCTGCTCTCATTTATTCCGGACCATGCTGCCAGAAATGACATGTGAGAAGAAGCTTGGAGGCAAATTAGTGCCACACTTCAAGGCCTCTGCCTTGGGACATTCAGCAGTCTCCACTTTCTCTGTCCAGGTGTCTCAACACCTAGAGCACGTACTCTTGTTCCCTTCCAGCATCTATAAGAGTTTTGAGCCTGAGAACAGTTTTGTTATATTTTAACATAAGAAATACCACATCAGACTTGTCCACAAAACTGGAAAAAGTGAGAACATGAAGGAAGACTGAATATACAATTTAAGAAAGAGACGATTAATGGAGCAAGATTTTGGAAGAGGTGGGAGGGGTCTAACAAATGTCCGTTTATCTAAAAAGTCATTTTAAGACTGAATTCTAGAGGTTGGCTACAAAAGCTCAGCGCTCTCTAAACTTGGAAACCATTCAGCTTGACAACTCCTCTACCGCTTATTTCTGTCTCTTCTTATCAAAGTATTATAGTAAAATAATAATAATTCAAAAAATTGCCATTTAGCTCAGAATACATCCATTCATAATACAAATTTAAACTATATAGACTTCATGGCACTTAAGATGTTTGAGTTCCTATTAACTAAGGTTCGAAGTGACTCATAGATTAAGAATCACATTTATAAATGTAGTTTTCTGAATGCTAGCTTATGTAACATCACAAGCAAGATATAAATAAACAATGTACTATTCCATCATAGCCAATAGGAAATTACCTGGACACAATTAGTGTCAAGGCTCAATGTAAAAAGAAAAAAAATATAGAGAAGTGGGTGTCAAATTAATGGTGAAAGTACAGGAGTCTGAGCTCTGTGACCATCGGAATCTTAAGATTCATTGTCTCATTTTAATATTTTCCAAACCAATTAAATGACCCAACTCTGGGAAAATGTGACATTTACCAGGCATTTGAGAATGGTTAATTTGGTATATGTGTCTCTGTACTTTGTTTTAAACTTTGTATTATGGAACATTTTAAATATATGCAAAAAAGAAGATAATATAATGAAACTTCATGTATCCATCACCTATTCTCCCTGAAAATAATTTTGAAGCAAAGTTCAGATGCCATTTTATTTCCTGTGTGTATGTGTATTACAATTTGAACTATTATTATCAGTGCTCACCTCCCAGGATTGAATTATTTATCAGTCACCAAAGATAAAACAACCACAAGCTTCTAGATAAATATTTGTGAATACAATGAATAAAAGGCTAATATTTATTGAGTACTTACTGCATGCCAGGCCCTGTTCTAAATGTTTTGCATGCACTCTTTCATCTAATTTTTATAACAACTCTAAGCCATAAACATCTTCACATTTCAGATGAGAAAACAAGTGTAAAGAGATTGAGGGGCTTCCCCAAAGATGAATACAAATTCAATGAAAAAGAAATCAAACAAAATCATATTGTGAATATAGAATAAAAGGAAAGCAAGAATGATGCTTGATATTTTAATAAGGTTCAGAATCCAGGCCTTTGAGAATGAAAGTAAATATGGCAAAATATTAAAAACTGGTGAATCTGGATAGAGGTATTTGGGACCTCTTTATAGCATTATTGCAATTTTATGTTGTAAGTTATTTCAAAATACAAAGTTAAAAATGGAGACTTCCTTGGTGGTCCAATGGTTAAGACTCCATGCTTCCAATACAGGGGGACTGGTTTTGATCTCTGGCCAGGGAACTAGATCCCATATGCTGCTAAGACAGCGTGCAGCCAAATAAACAGGTGTTTTTTTTTTAAGTTAAAAATTTGAAGTAGGCCCATTTTTTCTCAACTAGCAAAGTTCAAGGAAGAATCTGACTGACAATTTTGCATAATGGGCCAGGATTTCTCTTATGTTGGGTCCTTCTGAAATGAGAACCCAAGTCAGGCTTAGGTTTAGGTCAGCTGTGGGGACGGTTGGGAGGAGGGTCATCTCAGGAAGCAGAAGTGAGGGGATGGGTAAAGCGACGCAAGGAAGAAGAAAAAGACAACGCAAGAACACATTATCAGCTGACGTCTCCCTGAGACCCAATCCTCCTGGGGACCGGCGGTGGCCCGTCTCCAAGGTGGCCCCCAGGGATCCTTGCCTCCGTGGAAGCAGACCTTTGTGCAGTGTCCTTCCACACTGCACCAGGGTTGGTCTATGTGACCAACAGCATACAGCAGAAGAGGTATTATGTCATTTTTGAGATGAGAGCATAAAAAAGACTGGCTCTCATTTTGGTCACCGGCCCTCTCTCTTTCAGAGCACTCACTCTGGGGGAAGCCGCATGGTGAGAAGCCCTGGGCAGGGATCCACATGGTGAGGGGGATCCTCCTGTCAACAGCCGTGTGAATGAGTCAGAAGTGAATCCTTCAGACCCGTCATGCCTCAGAAGACTACAGTCTTGGTTGACATATGGCTCCTCTGGTGAGAAACTCCAAGTCAGAACCATCTAGCTAAGCTGCTTCCTGATTCCTGATCCATAGAAACAGAAACAAGAAATTTTTGTTATTCTAAGCCACTGAGTTGGAAGTCATCTGTTACACAGGTAACTAATACAGGACCCTTTGAGGAACCGTGTTAACACATCTCAGAAACCTTCCATCAAAGACTGGGAAGCTGAGGCAATTATCCACAAAACACCAATTCCAGAGTGGGCACTGCAGGTGGAATGCTGTCAACACACAAAAGCAAACACGGAAGAAACATAGGTGGGCTGAAAGTATGTGAGGTTGGTGTACCAGTAAGCACCTGCTAAAGGACGTCAGGAGGACACACCTTTAACTTTTCTAGGACAAGATACAGGTTTGATGCAACATGAAGCTCTCCTTAGGAGACTTCTCTTTATTCCCTGTGTTAGTCTTTCAAAATTTGCAGCTTATCTCACAGAAGCATTAACCTAGCCAGAACTGGAATTTTAAGACTTCATTTTTCTGATTAAAAAAGTAATCTCTGTGATTAAAATATATTTGAAGATACAAAAATACCCAAAGAAGAAAATTTTAAAACATCAAAACAAATGCACCATTCACAGACTACCCCTGTTAAATTTTGAAGCCATTTAGTATGCCGTAAAAATTCATATACATTTTATTGAAATCATTTTAGTTATAGTTTATAGATGCTTAACCACTAAAAAATATACTAAGAGCAATTTTTAACACGAAGCAATAACTAAATCTTAAACACATCATTGGGCTTCCATGGGGGCTCAGACAGTAAAGAATCCACCTGCAATGTGGGAGACCTGGGGTCGATCCCTGGGTTTGGAAGATCCCCTGGAGGAGGGCATGGCAACCCACTCCAGTATTCTTGCCTGGAGAATCCCCATGGACAGAGGAACATGGCAGGCTATAGTCCATGCGGGTTGCAAAGAGTCGGACATGACTGAGAGACTAAGCACACACAAACACATCATTCATGAAAAATAATAAATGTGAATCAGGTTTCCAAATCTGATTTCAATTTCAATTTCAGTTATGTTTTCTGAATGAGGAAGTTCTGAGCAAGTTAGGGCGTGGCATCACTTATTTAAGCAACACTAATAAATCCCATGCCCTGACCACGACGGAGGCACTGCTGAGTGCAGGTTGAAATAACCTTCCAATTGCGTTTTTCAATCTCTGTTAGGATGTTCTTTTATTAAAAATAAGAATGAGCTGAGCCAGTGGGTCAGCATTCCCTCTTCAGCTGCTGAGCCATGAGTCTGGCCTTGTATCATTCCACACTCACTGTTTGATCAGATGCTCCCTAGTAGCCTCTTCTCTGGGGGTAGGCACATGCCAGCGCCAAAGCAGTTTTCCTGAATTCGGTGCTGGCTTCTGCTAGGGACGGGATTTGGGGAATAAAAATGCATTCTGCTCCTTCACTAATCTAGAAGAAAGAATGAATACAGAAAGGTTTAGTTGTTTAATACACAAAAGAAATATGGTTTAGGATCAAACATAGATCTAACATGGATTAACAAAGAGTTCATGTGCTCCTCTCAACTCTCAAGGACCTAATCAATCAATACCAATGTTCAGCGTGTATGAGGAGCTTCTGACTTGTCTACCTAACCTGGGAAACAGGATGGCAACTGTAAGGGTCATTTGGACCCATCCAGTCCTGACACCTGTCTTATCAATACCTTAAGCAATTGTGCATAAAGAATATAAAAGGGTTAGTTAAGAAAATATACATTCCTATGGGACAAGCCATACACAGTTTGTATATAAGACAGGTAGTTACATCACAGTTCGTAGGTGGTATGGAGTGTGGGTCTGATGTTAACCATTATTCTTCCCTCAGTAGTATGTAGTGTTCTGTGCCTCTGTTCTGGTCCTAGTCTAGATCTTTCTCTTCTTCTATTGAGTCACATTCTACTCCTCTGCCCTTGATTACACTTCTATGTTCTATGTATACTTCCACATTCTAGATGGGTCCCTATGTGCCAGGGATAGAGTTGTGAATTAGAGACTGATCACTTTCTCATATTGGGCTTCAATCTCTCTGCAATTATTCAAAAATTTTGTCACAAAGTTCAGCAGGGTTATTTCTTTCAGTTTTTCAGTTTTTGCTCTTTTTAAAATTGCTATTGCCGAATGCCAATGTATCAGAAATTAGGGCCTCTTAAATACTTTCTGTAGCAGGGTGGGAGTGAAACTGAAATCCCCTAAGATTTTAAAAGAGGACAAGAGAATTTCCTAGGTTGGATATGCCTGGAATGCAATCTTATTACTTAAGTGCCTTTTCTTCTAGACATGTGCTTCTGTTCCAATACAAATGCTCTGGAAAACAAGAGACTGGTCTCATAGTGAACAGTTCTTCAGACTAACTCTGCCTGGATTCTACAGGGAAAGCACTGGTTATGAGTTGCAAAACTTCCTTGAATACTCTTATTTTATACTGTTTGAAACCTTCTGCAAATCTCAAAAAATCAGAAAAAAGTTCAAGAGTCTAACTACTCTTAGGAGAATTGATAAGGTTTTCATTAATACAAGATAAAACCCGTATGTATATAACATGGAAAATAGCAGATCAAAGAAAGGTTCAGTTCAGTTCAGTTCAGTTCAGTCACTCAGTCATGACCCATTTTGTGACCCCATGAACCGCAGCATGCCAGGCCTCCCTATCCATCACCAACCGCCGGAGTTCACCCAAACCCATGTCCATTGAATCGGTGATGCCATCCAACCATCTCATCCTCTGTCGTCCCCTTCTCCTCCTGCCCCCAATCCCTCCCAGGATCAGGGTCTTTTCCAATGAGTCAGCTCTTTGCATGAGGTGGCCAAAGTATTAGAATTTCAGCTTCAACATCAGTCCTTCCAATGAACACTCACGACTGATCTCCTTTAGGATGGACTGGTTGGATCTCCTTGCAGTACAAGGGACTCTCAAGAGTCTTCTCCAACACCACAGTTCAAAAGCATCAATTCTTCTGCACTCAGCTTTCTTTACAGTCCAACTCTCACATCCATACATGACTTCTGGAAAACCCATAGCCTTGACTAGATGGACCATTGTTGAGAAAGTAACGTCTCTGCTTGTTAATATGCTATCTAGGTTGGTCATAACTTTCCTTCCAAGGAGTATGTGTCTTTTAATTTCATGGCTGCAATCATCATCTGCAGTGATTTTGGAGCCAAGAAAAATAAAGTCATCCACTGTTTCCACTGTTTCCCCATCTATTTGCCATGAAGTGATGGGACCAGATGCCATGATCTTAGTTTTCTGAATGTTGAGCTTTAAGTCAACTTTTTCACTCTCTTCTTTCACTTTCATCATCAAGGCTCGTTAGTTCTTCTTCACTTTCTGCCATAAGGATGGTGTCATCTGCATATCTGAGGTTATTGATATTTCTCCTGGCAATCTTGATTCCAGCTTGTGCTTCATTCAGCCCAGCGTTTCTCATGATGTACTCTGCATATAAGTTAAATAAGCAGGGTGACAACATACAGCCTTGAGGTACTCCTTTTCCTATTTGGAACCAGTCTATTGTTCCATGTCCAGTTCTAAGTTTTGCTTTCTGACCTGCATACAGATTTCTCAGGAGGCAGGTCAGGTGGTCTGGTATTCCCATCTCTTGAAGAATTTTCCACAGTTTATTGTGATTCACACAGTCAAAGGCTTTGGCATAGTCAATAAAGCAGAAATAGATGTTTTTCTGGAACTCTCTGGCTTTTTATGACCAACGGATGTTGGCAATTTGATCACTGGTTCCTCTGCCTTTTCTAAAACCAGCTTGAACATATGGAAGTTCATGGTTCACATATTGCTGAAGCCTGGCTTGGAGAATTTTAAGCATTACTTTACTAGCGTGTGAGATGAGTTCAATTGTGCGGTAGTTTGAACATTCTTTGGCATTGCCTTTCTTAGGGCAATGAAAACTGACCTTTTTCCAGTCCTGTGGCCACTACTGAGTTTTCCAATTTGCTGGCATATTGAGTTCAGCACTTTCACAGCATCATCTTTCAGGATTTGAAATAGCTCAACTGGAATTCCATCACCTCCACTAGCTTTGTTCAGAGTGATGCTTCCTAAGGCCCACTTGACTTCACATTCAAGGATGTCTGGCTCTAGGTGAGTGATCACACCATCATGATTATCTGGGTCGTGAAGATCTTTTTTGTATAGTTCTTCTGTGTATTCTTGCCACCTCTTCTTAATATCTTCTGCTTCTGTTAGATCCCTACCATTTCTGTCCTTTATTGAGCCCATCTCTGCATGAAATGTTCCCTTGGTATCTCTAATTTTCTTGAAGAGATCTCTAGTCTTTCCCATTCTATTGTTTTACTCTATTTCTTTGCATTGATCACTGAGGAAGGCTTTATTATCTCTCCTTGCTATTCTTTGAAACTCTGCATTCAAATGGGTATATCTTTCGTTTCCTCCTTTGCTTTTTGCTTCCCTTCTTTTCACAGTTATTTTTAAGGCCTCCTCAGACAACCATTTTGCTTCTTGTATTTCTTTTTCCTGGGAATGGTCTTGATCCCTGTCTCCTGTACAATGTCACAAACTTCTGTCCATAGTTCATCAGGCACTCTATAAGATCTAGTCCCTTAAATCTATTTCTCACTTTCACTGTATAGTCATAAGGGATTTGATTTAGGTCATACCTGAATGGTCTAGTGGTCTTCCCCACTTTCTTCAATTTCAGTCTGAATTTGGCAATAAGGAGTTCATGATCTGAGCCACAGTCAGCTCCCAGTTTTGCTTCTGCTGACTGTATAGAGCTTCTCCACCTTTGGCTGCAAAGAATATAATCAATCTCGTTTTGGTGTCAACCATCTGGTGATGTCCATGTGTAGAGTCTTCTCTTGTGTTGTTGTAAGAGGGTGTTTGCTATGACCAGTGTGTTCTCTTGGCAGAACTCTTTTAGCCTTTGCCCTACTTCATTCTGTACTCCAAGGCCAAATTTGTCTGTTACTCCAGGTGTTTCTTGACTTCCTACTTTTGCATTCCAGTCCCGTATAATAAAAAGGATGTCTTTTTTGGGTGTTAGTTCTAGAAGGTCTTGTAGGTCTTCATAGAACTGTTCAACTTCAGCTTCTTCAGCATTACTGGTCAGGGCATAGACTTGGATTACCGTGATATTGAATGATTTGCCTTGCTCTTAAATAAAAAAAAAACAATAAGACCAAATAAAATTTCAAGGCAAATTTAAAAATTTTTAATTCTATTTACATTGTTCAGTAATTCTGAACCTGAAGTTTTTGATTCCCACCAGATCATCCTCCTCTTAGATGTCTACACTGTGGAATGCTGCTAGAAACTGGTGTTGTCTGGGAGCTCCTGTGCGCTGACCAGATGGACAAAGCACATGACTTTGTAAGAATGACTCAGAGACCGGGAGCAAGGATTGCTCTTACCAGGCACAAATGAAGATCACATGAGTTTTTCAGTGCTTCTGTCAAACCCTAAAATTGTAAGAGAACCCAAGTTACTAAAAAATCAAAGGTAACTCTTCATCAATTAAATCAACTAAGAGACAAGGAAAGTCAAAGCAGAGACATGGATTTTTTTTTTTTTACTACTTCTCCTATAGCAACAGACCTACACATGATTCTCCAGGAGACAAATAAAACACAAATCTAAACTGTTTTCAGTACTCCAAAATCCATATAAAGCCAAGAAACATATATTTACAAGGAGTGAGACACACCACCAATTAAAATTCATATCCAACACAGATCATCTATTTTTATTAAGCTTTAAGAAATTCCTCCTAACAGCAGAAATAAATGATCATTACTTCTAGAGTGAGTGGAATTTAAGCTGGAATTTGTAGGACAGAACAGTTTTAACTCTGGAGGACACATGATGTAAATTACTCCCCATTTACTTAACAACTGATATGATGAGTTTTATTTACCACCCCATCATCCATACATGATCTTCATTCCTAAACTCAAGTGATTTTTACACATTTCTCTTAAGTTATGGATCTAAGAATTGGACCATTTAGTGGTAAACATCTGATTAACAGAGCTTTCACTTCCACACGAGAAAGTAAACACCTGGAATAAAAGGGACCCTGCAAGCCAACTTCAAGAGCCAGCACCCCAAAGTTAGGTATTCCTAATGTGTCCAAGGCAAATACTTGGCGAGGGAAAACTAGAACTTTATAAAGTGTGCACATATGTGATTATGTAACAAACAGTTTGGCTACTCTAATATAGCTATTATTAATTGAAATATTTTGGCCCTCTTCAACAACTTAAAATTATTTTAAAAATATTTTCTGATCAATATAGATTTTTGCCAAAAAGAAGACTCTATAATAATTCCACATAAAATGTTACAATTTTCTGGAATATATGTCTGAATTTGTTTGGTGATGTTTTCTACTATCTATGAACCCTGTTCTTAAGTTTATGCACATCATTACAGCCTATTTGTTTTCATATTGTTTGTCTTGACATTGGAAAACATTGGCAGCATCACAAGAGTTGGAGAAGGAGCTGAAGAACCAGATAGATAGACCTCACTATCAATCCTGGTTCTGCAACTTACTAACTAAGGGACCCTGGGCCAAATCCTTAACTTCATAAAGACCAGTTCTGCTTTGTTTTTAACTTGGAAAACAGGAATAATAAGTAACTTACAGGATTTTGTAAGAATCAAATGAGAAAACATACGTGAAACCCCTGGTGCAGAGTTTCTTCCATATTAGATACTCAGCAACTGAGAGAATTTTCTCTTGTATGAGGGAACAAAGACATCCTCAATCTAAAAATTATAGTTGTCTAGACTCTGAGGGAACATGTAAATATTTACTTGAAAATGATTGCTTTAATGACATATATGCAAACTAAAAATTAAATGCATATTAGATTTCTAATAGTGGCCTCTGAGATAACTGTAATTTAATTGCAAGCCTCCCTCCCCCAGAGTTCATCAGAAATGGAGTCAGTATAAAAAGCCAGATAATGTAAGGCCAAATGAGCTTTGCTTCTGATTCTCTGCCTGGGCCTCATCCATAAAGATGTACGAAAAGGCAGTCATCAATCACCTTACTTCCCAGGTGACCACACGAAGTTCCAGTAAAAATAGCAATGAAATATTTCATTAAAATTCAGTCAAGACTCCATATAATTTTGTTAACTAAATCTTTATATGAATGTCATGCATATCCAAGCAGTTTGAGAAGTGATAATCCATAAAAGAGAATGATAATACATAAAAGTTACTGAGAAGTATTTTATAAATACACATTTAATAAAAATAATTAGCAATCAGGAAACATTTATTTAGAATGAGGATGTACTTTGCCCTGAAGAAACTGCTGTCAACTTTAGAAGACAAGATTTGCTCTTTGCAATGATCTAACTGCATTTTGAAAAATACAAAGATTTTTTCTTTTAATGAACTGAATTCATGTAAGGAGGGAATTGATATGTTTTGCATACTTAATGTGTGTCAGGCACTGGGCATGTATTATCTCACTTAAAACTCACAAAAATGCTATGAAGTGGATAATTCTTCTCCTTTTGTTTTGGGAGAAAACAGGCTTACACAGGCAAGGTGACTGTGGTAAGGACATATAACTAGGCAGTGGCAATCCCAAGAAGTGAGCACAGGCCAATATCTCTGGGCCCAAGTGTACTGTATTTTCATTGCCCCTGGGATGGCCATGGGGAAAATGGGAGGAAAGAAATCACTGCGAGGGATACTTTGAAAGAGAAATTTGCAAATATTTGTAACTGTTTGAATATGCATGACATTCATATAAAGATTTAGTTAATAAAATTATATGGAGTCTTGACTGAATTTTAATAAAATATTTCATAAATGCAACAAAGCAGGAGCATCAGGAAACAAATCCAATTAAACATGTTGAAAGAATCAGATTAGCTTTATCCATCTATTTAAAAAGATTCTAAATTTAAATAAATGTACTACTCTCCTCCTTTATGCAATGCTCTTAATATTGGCATTTTAAATTTAGGTTAGAAAGTCTGGATTTGAATCTTAGGCCCCAAGTTAATGTGATATGATCTTGGGCAGCTCATTTAGTGACTTTAAATTTTGTAGGAATATTAATACCTATCCTACTCCATCCAGTCATGGACTCATCTACTCACCTACTTACTCCTCCACCCATCCAACCATTCAACTGTTCATTCAACATACACTTATTGAGCATTTACCAGGTGCCAATCATTGGAGACATTTTAATTTTTAATATTTATTTATTTATTTGGCTGCACCGGGTCTTAGTTGCAGCATGTGGGATCTTTGGTTAGATCTTAAGCATGTGGGATCTAGTTCCCCAACCAGGGATCAAACCCATGCCCCCTGAATTGGGAGTGTGGAATTTTAGGCACTGGACCACCAGGCAAGTCCCTAGAGACATTTTAGAGTTAAATGAGACTCAGACTTTCTGCTCAAGGAGTCCACAGTCTAGGAAGAGAGACAGACGAATATAAAGGAAGGTAGTAAAACGTGATGGGTGCTTGAAGGAAGCCTGTTCTGGCCACAGTGGGCAGAAAGGAGAGATCCCTTCTACTTGGTGAGAGGTGGCTGGAAGGACATCTCACAGACACCTGGGAGAGGGAGGACAGGTGTCATGAAAGAGGTGATGTGCGAGTTGGTGAAGTATGACTAATTTTTCCCAGTAGATCTGGGGTATAATCCTGGGAAGAGTGTACCAGCTGGAGTTGTTGTTTAGTCACTAAGTCATGTCCGACTCTTTGCAATTTCATGGACTGTAGCCAACCATGCTCCTCTGTCCATGGGATTTCCCAGGTAAGAATATTGGAGTGGGTTGCCATTTCCTTCCACAGAGCATTGAGTCCTGCCCCAGGCCACAGGTGAGAGGCCTTATGGCAAGGCCACAAAAGTGGGAAACAAGGACACCTCTGAAGCTAATCGATCCCCTTTGTAACCATTACCAAAAGCCCCCGATCATCACTAACAAGCTTCCTGACTCCCAAGTAGGCAAAGATGCTCGCTCCAGTAAACACCTATAGCACCCCAACCAATCACCTAACGCCAACCTTCCAGCAGAAATTTTCTGTCAGGAGGTCGGCCTACTGCACTCACAGCACCTTCATTATCTCTCTTCTTGCTTTTAATAAACTCACTCCCATCTGAAATGCTTTGTGTCTAGAAATTCTTTTCCAACCCACTCTAGGACTGCCTCAACACAGTGGGTCTTCCCCATCCACAGGGACTGAACTTGTGTCTCCTGCTTGGCAGGCGGATTGGGAACCACATAAATAAATACTCAAAGGTATGCTATGGTGTGGTAGCCAGTGGACTACAGTGCAGCTTGATTTGGCTAAAATGTGAGGTAGAAGGAAGAAGCAGCTAGACATGACATTAGAGAAAATGGTCGGCCATGCTGAAGAGGTTTCATTTTTTTCTGTGGGTACTAGGAAATCTTTAAAAGCTCCTAAGTTAGTATGAAATGATCAGTTTTGCATTTGAGAAAGACTACAGCTATAGAGGGGAGAATCAGTATAAGAATGTTATAAGAAAATATATGGAGACCCATTATAAGCTGCAGATCACTATATAAATCACTATATAAATGTTTGCTTTTATCGTTAGTTCAGTATGTCTCAATTTGCTATATTACAGGTCATGCAAGATTGATAAAACATGCATTCTATATAACTCTATGTATTTATTTAAATAAACCTATGAAACAAAATATTTTTTCAGTTGGAAACGAATTGCAATAATAAAGAGATTTACAAAAATTTCACTTTGTTCCAGAGCTCTTATTTCAATAAAACATAGTGTCGGTGAAGGTCCCTAAAAAGAATGAATAAAGATATTAATGATCTTTGAAATGATCTTTGATTAATGATCTGTTTCAGTGAGGATGTGGAGAAATTGAAATCCTTGGGAAAGTTGATGGGAATGTGAAATGGTACAGCTGCTATAGTAAAGAGTATGAGAGTTCTTCAGAATATTAAAAGTAGAATTACCATATGATATAGAAATTCCACTTCTAGGTATGTATCCTAAAATTTGAGAGCAAGGTCTCATAAAGATATTTGTACACCCTCATTTATAGCAGTATTATTCCTAATAGCCAAAAGATGGAAAGTACCTGTGTGCATCAACGGATGAATGAATCAACAAAATGTGGTACATCCATCCAACAGAACATTATTCATTTTGTTAAAAAATAAAGGAAATTTTGGCACACATTACAGTATGGATAAACTTTGAGAACATTATGCTAAGAGAAATAAGCTAGTCACAGAAGAACAAATACTATATTCCACTTATATGATGTTCCTAGAGTAATCAAATTCATTGAAACAGAAGGTAGAATAGTAGTTGCCAGAGGTCAGTGGAAAGAGAAATGGCTAGTTGTTATTTAATGCATACAGAGTTTCAGTTTTACAAAATAATAAAGTTCTGGAGATTGGTTGTACCACAACGTGAACATATTTAATAC